GAACTATATAAGAGTTTTAATTAGAAAGTGTTAGGTGAAAAACACTTCTGATTTAATTTTTTAACAATAACGAACAAGAACATTAATTGCTTTAGTTAGCTAAAAAATTCAAAGGGACAAAAAATTAGGCGTTGATTCTCAAAAAAATCTTTGATTTTATGACATGATAAAGCTAATGTTTCTAGGCAGCTATTTGCAGTTTATAAAAAGAGTTTACACTAAATTTGTTAACGCTCATTACAGTGTTGCCAAACAACGGCTCAGTTAGAGGAAATAAATTTTGAACCCAAAAAAGAAATTCTATATATTATTTTCTTCATTTATACCTTGGTTTTAGATTTCAATTTTTTTAAAAAATTCATATGTAAGCTTATTTAATTATAATGTTCCTCTAATTCTGGTTTGTCATTTCGAGGTTAATTGGCTTTTTCTTTTCTTTTTTTTTTCTTTCTTATTTAAAGTAAAAATTCTTGCAAGCATATATTTTTCAAAATCTTTGTTTAACGCTAATATTGATGAAATATTTTTCAAAATTTTTTGCCCTAATCTTCCAATCTCTTTGATATTGACCCATTACATATACCTTGATAAATAGAAGGTCTTAGTACAATACAGGCCTAAGCAAACACAAAAATATTATGCCATACAAAGGGAATTTGTAAATCAATAGTTATAAATATTACTTTCCTCTTCTCTTTTCACCCTCTGCTTTTCTTTCTCTTCTTCTTGAAGTCTCTTGAATTCTCCTTTTACTCCTCCTCTCGAATCACGTTCCCTTCTCTTTCTCTTTCTTCTCCTCTATGATTCTCAGTTGCCAAATCACTCTTAAACCTAGATTTAGGATATATGTTGACATCTAATCAATTTTACATTGCCTCTTGTGCATCCCTTTCCAAGTTCATCAACCTAATCGAAATAGCACTCTTTTTTGGTATGTTAAGACAGAGTAAAGATGATAGTTTTCTCCATTCCTTATAAACTCAGATAATTATTACCTACACAGAGTTAATTGCATCTAATAAAATCTTATTGATTATGAACAAGGGTAAATAAAGGTTTTGTAATGTTTTCGTTCAAAAAATGGATAGTAATAAGATATTGACAGGTAAGATGAAATATATGCCCATAATATAGACAAACTTTTTCTCATTAAATCCCAACGGCCATCCGAAAATTTGAATTTAAAGACTTTCAAATAGAGAAGATTTCAAAAGCACTATTAAGTTATCTCCTTCCCTTCTACTTTATCAACTTCACAATTCAATTTGGTAAATAAAGCAAGCATTTTCAAGAACAATAAGAGGTACATGTTATACGTAACCAAAAAGGGTAAAATTAGCGTCTATTGCAATTTGGCGTACCGCTAATTTGAATCTTTCTCTTAAAACTGAAAGGTGCCTTTAAAAACTTATTGAATCTTTCTAACTTTTTTTCTATTTCAATTTATTTTTTGTTTTATTATGGTGTTTTGTAATATATTACCAATAAACAAAAGAAATGACTTTGGCCTACCTTTTGCTTTCTCTGAAGTATGAACCAAGGTCCATCGGAAGGGCCGCCCAAATCATACAAGCAAAAAGAAACCCTTTGGGCAAACGTTCGATTCAGTCTTCTCATTGGACAGCAAGTAAGACCATCATGGCTTCTAAAATTACTACAATTGCCATGTTTCAAAAACAAATAGCTTATTTCAATTGTTTACTATTAAGTTAATTTCAAAGATAATTTCTAACCAATACATGTCACTTTCTAGAGAATCAAGTCCAGAATTCCAGAAACCATACAACTATATATATTATATGTATTAAATATATATTGTTCAAAGTTACCTTTAAAAAACTTGCGAGTGTAGTTTTAAGCAATAAATAGGAAGAGTGTCGACTTCTAAAACAATCTAAAGAGCAATTTGTAGCTAGTATTTTTCAATTTTAATTTTTAATTGCAAAATTTAATAATTTTAATAAAATTAAGTATAATCCATTAACAATATTAAAGAAATTAAATATATTTAGGTAGTAAATTATAACAAATAATTTCATTACAAGTTTGCTAAATTTTTATATCCAAGATAGCTTTTATTTTATTATTATTTTCTTTAAAATCCATCCCCACCCCCCACATAATCTCTTTTATTTTTATTATTTTTATAAATATATGCCTTATTTTCTTGTTTAGAATTCTTGTTTTATCATTGTTCATAATTAGCTTTTTATTTATTATTTTACCATTTCGTAGAATTCATTTTCCATACATCCCACTAACACAAGCACCCTCAGGTATTATTTGTTCCCACAATAATGTGAACTTGAAACATTTTTACATATCCCCTTTTAGCTCGAAGATGGTACATCTCACAAGCCCTCAGCAAGGAAGTAGCAGAAAGGACACTTGATATTAAGGTAACGTGTTTTTTGGAATTCTGTGCTACCTCTATATTCTCAAGAAGATTTTCCCAATCTTATTTAAACTTGAGGGTTTTCACAGATTTTATTACCTACTATTTACGATTCGGTAAGACGATGTATTGGAGGAACATGATGGTTCAGGTGTAGAAACTTAATAATGCTATGTATTTTCTACATTTCAAATTAATAAAATGAATTTTATAATTTGCTGATAAAAAAAAAAATGATATATCTAAAGTTTACATGAGCGAGAGTGGTTGAGATTTGTTTTCATTTAATGCATGATAGGCGTATCGAGAGGAAAGCAACTCCAGCGATTGAGCATTTTGGCAGCAACTACAAAGAATTAGAAGAAGTCACTTCGAAAAAGAGGCTTTGAAAACGAGTTCTGGGAAACTAGAGGGGTTCATGCATTTTTATTATTGTGTATATCAATCTTACTTCGGTTTCTTCTTTGAAACTGATAAAAGTTAACCCTAATTAGTTTCTTTGGTTTCCAAACCTAATTTAAAACCCCAGATTTAACAAAAAAGAAAAAAGGGAAAAAGCGGACTAGTCCAGTGGAAAAACTTTTTATTTGGTTTGCCAATTGGTTAAATTTTTTTTCTCTTTGGATTTTCCATCTTTAAAACCAATGGTTTTTTGGTGATTCCAATCTTTGGAAACAAAAAATTTTCCCCCAAGGGGGAAAAAAAAAATTTTTTTTTCCCCCCCTTTTCCT